CTTTGCCCCTGCCCTTTCTTTCCCTCGGTGCCCACCCCCTGCCTCCCGTCCGCCGCTGTCCCTCCCGCGCCTTCTGCGGCCGCGCAGCCCGGTTCCCGCCCGTGCAATGGGTTTGGTTCGGTTGCTTTTTGGCGAGGGCGCCATTCCCGCTGGGCGCGGGGCGAGTGTGCCCCCTGGAGTTGCGCCGCGCAGCGCCCTAGCTCCGGGTTCCCCGGGATGAGTTTTGACCCCTGCCTGCCTCCACCTGTCCACCTGCCGGGGTCGGGCGGCGTCTCCGCCGGTACATTTCGGCCCGGTTGCGCCCCACCCTGCGGACTGGCTCGCCGCACGTTCTGGATGTTTCCCGAGGGTTTTGTGCGGGTTTTGTGCGTTTCGCCGCTTGTGCTCTTTGTTTTAATTATCCAGAATCTAGGCGCCCAGAGCCGGTTTGTGTATGATTCGCGTCCTTATGCCCCGACTTCCACTTTGGACGGAAAAGAAAATGAATTAAATAGACCAATACAACTGCACTCAAGCCCCCGAAATCAGGGGCATGGCTCTGGGAGTGCTCACAGCTATAACACACACACACACACACACACACACACACACACACACACACGGGCACATCTTCGGCTTTGGGACACAGGTTGGGACTGGCTGCTTCGGGACCCGGGTTCTGCTGCCAGGCTGCAGGACCCCTTCTTGCCCCTGGCCCTGGACTTTGCGAAGGGCATGGCTGTGTCAGAGGCTGGACAGCTGCCTGGGTCCCCCCCACTGCTGCTCTGAAACAGTTAATCCACCTTCCAGAGTTCACCAAGCATGCCTTGGGCACTGGTGGGCTTGTGGCGCTGATAACAGAGCAGGCATCTGGGAGCACACAGCCCTCTCCCTGTGGATGTGCCACACTGGAAGGCCAAGTCAGGGCAGCTGTCAGAGCCGGTGGTGGTAGAGATGGGATGTCCAGGCTTGGCTGAAACCTGCTTTGGAAACCCCTGTGTCTGGCTGTGCCCTCAGCCATCTCCACACCGGCCATGCTCAGCAGCTCAGCTGAGTCATCCTGTCCTGTTTTTAGGTCACCTGAGGGCCGTGGCACTGGGCGAGGCTCTTGGCCCTTGAGTCACTGGCTGCAAGGTAATGCTTCCTATTCGTGGTTCTCCAAGCTCGGGCCAGCATCCAGATCACCAGGACACATCTCTGGACCATCCCGCCAGATTTACAGACTCAGTGTGTCCCGGATGAGGCTAGCTTCCCAAGCTAGCAGCTTTTTAAACATGCCATCTAGTGCGGCTGTGATCCAGAGACCCCAATTTCAGAAGCAGCCGCTGTTAGGGGAGGGTCACTTCTGCTCCAGTCAGCCAGCAGCTATCCCACTTAAGCATTTGAAGGTGTCTTTGCTTGACATCCCTCCCCACCACCCCTGTCCCATTTCCACAGACCCAGAGCACTTAAAATGTTCCTGTCTGATGTGGAAAAACCATTTATTCTATCACGTGTCCAAGAGGATGAAAGATTTGGTGGCTTTGTCCCAGATCTTGTCCATATTTTTTCTGTCAGGTCAAAGTATAGACGATACTTTCAATGTATGTAGAGAGAAAATCACTGGCCAGTTCTGGAAAATGGGATTCCCCATCACTTCTGGGGTCTCCACTTGTCTCCCTGGGCCTTTCTCTTCCTTCAGTATACACAGACTCAGTGGGTCTTTGGGAAACTAAATGTTTCCCTCAGGTTATTTGTAATCAGGACTCAAGAGTTTTCATGGACTCGAGTTTTCAACACCTGTGAGCTTTAAGGATTTGAATTTACCTCACCATAGTAAATGTGGGGGTGCTCCAGTAGAGACTGGACTGTTTGTAACCTCCTATATCCAATGTCTTACTTACTCGCCATCTGCTGTGGTCCTGCTGTGTGTGAGGGACCTCCAAGCCCTGGAATCTAGACTGTTTCATGAGAACCAGCAGGTCTGCAGATAATGCACCAAAACACAAGTTGTTGTTCAAAAAGAAACATTCATGTTTCATTTCTAGCCACTCTGGCTAGAAAGAGGTCAACATTTCCATCCGTAGTGAAATGTGCTTTGATCCAGAAGATAGACCTTATTATGGCCCTGATGGCCTCTGTACCATTTCTGGAGTAATTCGAAAGGTGGGGACTATTTCAGGAACAACGTTTTATTTCAAAGCACTCTTTTGGCCCCCTCTGGTGGTGTAGGGGTTAAAGCGCAGCACTATAAAGCTATCTGCAGTCCCTGCAGGAGTTCCAGCCCAGACAGGGAGCTGACCCACATGGTGCAGCAGATCTCATCTGTCCTACCCACTGCTCCCCTCAGCAAGGTATTTCAGTCAATCTGCCTGTTCTGCTTCCCACTCTGTCTCTAGTGAATCCTCTCACTCCCTACACCTCTGGCCTGTACTCCAGTTCTTGTATGCATAAATAAATAAATCTTAAAAAAAAAAAAAAAATCCCTCTTTCCCATTGCCCTGTGATGGGTTTGCATTGATTGGTTGGTTTGAATTAGGTGTAATGCTCCACTAAAATGTGAACACCCCTAGGGATAGTGTGTCTCTTAACCATCAGTGAGTCAGTTTATCACAGCGTCTTATCAAGGCAGGGAGGACCACTCACCTCAACAAAAAGGACAACAGCAAGGGGTGGTGAATGACGTGGGCTTACCTGTGGGAGCAGCACCCAGAGACCTGGAGGGGAGGGGCTGTGCAGTGTCTGCACTGAAAGTGCTTGTCTTCAGCATGACCTGAAATGATCGAAAATCAGTAAAATCTCAGGGACCAATGCAGCTAGCCTGCTGTGTATTTGCCAGATAAAAATATCAAAAACAAACAAAAGTAACCCCCATGTACCATCTTTTCGCAACATTATCTCACTGAAAAACAGGACTTTTCACCAGCAAAAAGAAAACTAGGAAGGACTTAACATCTTCAGTCTTCCATTGAACTTTGGGAGTGAAAAACCCCCAACTTGCTCCCCTTACCCTGCAACCCTGCAGGAACTTCCCTTCAGCATGGCACCTGGAAACCACATTTCTCAGGAAAAAGGATGCAGCAGGAGGAGAGATCTAGCCCTGCATCCACTACTGACCTCTGGTTACAAGGGCGATGGACACTCTGAGGGAGTGAAGAATGTGCCTTCTGCACCCACCCCTCTAAGTCCTTGGGGTCCAGGCAGATGGTCCCAGCCCTAGGGAACCTTCTGTCATGACCTTGGAACAAAAAGCCATGGGTCATTTCTCTCTGCCTCCTCCTAACATTGCCTGTAGCCTCACGTGGCAAATGGCTGAGCCTGCTTTACATGGTAGACCAGTTCTCCTTAAGGAGACAAGCTGTTTCTCCATCAGCCTTGGCTGTGCCAAGCCTCCCTGTATGGAACGTTCACAGACGTTCGCTAAGTAAGAGCGAACTGTCTTCGTTTTTCATTTTTCTTTCAACCCTCCATTTCCTGTCTCTCTTCTTTCCTCCTTTTCCTTTTTCATTCATTTTGATCTCCACCATTAGAACACAGCTTTTCCCACAGCCAGGGCTCTCTGGAATTCAGAATCTTTCTCCCCTTGTCTCCTTCCTCCAGAATAACGATGCATCAACCATGACATTCACCTTTCATCGCAAAATAAAAGACAAGAAAATAAAAATAGCAGAAATCACTGTCAGACAGCACCATTCTCATCTCAACAGCAGGAAAACCTTGCTCCTTCCTCCTACCCAGAAGCTACTCAGGATTTTCACTTTTCCCATGACCCCGAGGCTTTGTCTTCTGTGAATCCATTTCCTATCTCTGTTCTTCCTGTTCCGTGTTCTCCGTTGTTACCGATTACTCCCATCCTCAGCGCCACTGCCCGTCTTTTGAGCTTCAAGTCTCTGATTCTGCCAGTTTTCCTCTGGGCCACAGAGCTTTCGCTTGGCGAAGTTGTAACAAAGAGGAGATGGAAGTGGTAGTGCAAGCTGAGAGCTTTTCCGTGTATTTCTGTGAAATGCTGAAGGTCTGAGAACCACTGGGTCTGTAGCCCTGGCATGCTCAAAATGAGCTCTATTTCTGGGCCTGTCAAATGAAATGTTGTTGCTCCTAGTTATTTTTGGCTCTTTGCCCTTCTGAATAGGTGCATATTCAGCTCAATTCGTCCCCACCCTGAGCTGAGGAAACGGCAGGCAGCTTCCCTTTGCCAAGCCTCCTCCCGTGTCAAGAGCACTTGCCCCCTTAAGCAGCAGCTATAATGAGCTCTCTAGACTGAACAGGGTTATTGGTGCAGCACCCAGGTGGGCTGGGAGATCCACCCTCTGGATGCTGAACCACCAAGGAAGAGCTCGGTGGGTGCATCACGAAGCTCACGCCTCTGCTCTCATTCCTAGGTCTCTATCTTGCCCACTGGGTGTGACTGCATAAGCTTCTCCTGCCATGTTTGGGGGACCTGGGGTGTGGGAGCCCAGAAATATATGTATACAGATGACTTGAGAAAGGAAGGGTGACCTGGGAGGCCGAAGGTCAAGGGCACATGTCTGTAGGTGGAAGCATATCTTTGAAATGGAGATAAGGTTGGTGTGAATGTCCAGTTCCATTTGGGACAGGAGAGAGGACAGCTTGAGCAGACACCATGGAGAGGACGGCAGGAATAATGGAAGAGCGAGAGTAAGTGAGACACTGAAAAATGTGGGTGTGTCTCCAAGTCCTGACAATATTGTGTAACTGCGTGCTGCAGCCAGATTGTGATGCTCGGGCAGACATTAACATCAACTTAGGGCTTTTTGTCTCCTGGGTAATATGAAATATCAACTAAAATGAAACGTCAAGATCAGCTGTCCTTGTAGGGATGCTGGTCAGGTTTGTATCCTATCCAGAGACACACAGCAAAGGGGAAGCAAAGCCAGGATCCTTGTCACAGCAACACACCCGTCTGACTTTTCTGGAAAGTTCCTATCACTCGGACATATCCATTCATTTCGTCCACATGACAAGCAGCCTCAGCCTACCGAGGAAGGAACTGAGCCATTACCGACATCCCAGGTTCTTGGCCAGGAGGTGGCAGAGTCAGTTTGGATTCAGGGAAAATTCAGGCAGGAACTCAGCTTATACCACAGCACTCAACTGCTGCTGGTGGGAAGTGGTATGCAGCGTGTCGGGACTCATCTGGGTTTTAAACTCAGGTCTTGAGAGGGACCTGCCAGGTGCTTGAGAACACGGCTTCCTGTGTCAGACTCAAGGTCTGCTCCATCATCACCTGGGTGATCTGGCCCAGATCAGTAGGCCCCTTGAACCTCTGTCTCTGTATCTGTAGAAATGGGCATATAGTAGTTACAGATCTGCCCACTGACATGGCGTGTGAGGGCCAGGTAAGTTTGCACAGGTGAGCATGGGCCAGTATCTGTGTATTCTCATTTGTGCATTATCATACTTGCTGACTTCCCAGAAAGGCTCGCAAAGAAAAGCACATTGCTTATAAGAGTATGAAACATAGAAAAAGGTTGACAAATGCCCATGCGGTACGTCTCCAAAGATGCCCCCACCCGTGAACCACATCTCCTGTTATATAAGACCCAAAGGGTGATGGTATCCCATTTTTTTCTCTTGGGGGGGAACAGCTACCACATATGAACTGTGAGTGATGAGGAAAGCCAAACTAGTCACCTGAAGAGAAACATTTAGCCAACCTCCAGCGCTTTGGTCCCCTCAGCCCGGTGCCAGGCATGTGAGCATGGACAAGCCATCCTGAATGTTTAGCCCCACTGGGTGTTTACATGACTTGATCTCAGCCACCATCTGATGGGAACTGCGTAAGCGTCCAGTAAGAACTGCTGGCTGACCCCTGCCAGCTCACTGAACTAAGACAGACAAAAGTGAATTGTTCGGAGTCACTAAGTTTGGGGGCAGTTTCTTCATAGTCATCGATAACTCCAACACTGCCTTATTTTTCCTGAACATTATAGTCAGCTTTGAGCCTCCTGGCATTCAAAGCAAAAAAAAAAAAAAGTGGGGCGGGGGGGCAAGATGGATTATAGACACATTCTATTATCTTAAAATCCTATGATCTACGAATGGGTAGCTCACCTGACTCACGTCTTGTAGTCAAGCATGAATGGAGATTAGTCTACCTGACATGAGAAACTTGGCTTATCTTTATCAAGATCATGGTTGTGCAATTTCTATCACCTGCCTTGCTAGAGCGAACCAAAGAATTACAGTTATCATTAACAGGAAAATGCCCTGTGCACCTGGCCCGAGTCACTCAGGCTGTCACTCAAGCCGGTTTTCTCCCGTTTATTCTTAGTACACCTCCTGTCTCTTTCTCCTCCCAAATTAAGTCACCAACGGGTTGGGTGACTCCAGGATCCTAAGTGGCTAGAATTAATGGTTAAAATAGAAATGCTGAAAATAGTGGAAACTGAAACCGATTTGGATGATTTATTCAAATCTTCGGGAAAGAAAAATAACTATTGAGCCCAGAACTGAAATTTAGGCTTGTGATTCCTAATCAACCAGAGTGTGACACTTTCCTAGTGTGAAGCTCTCAAAGAGAACAGAGGAAACATTCCCCACGACTGTGCTGGTGTCCTCTAGACCTGGCTCCGGAGGGCAGGGGATGTATCTGTCTTCTGAATAGCCCATGCCGAATGTCTTACTGCTGCTTATTAAAGCCCTTCTTCTTTCAGTGACCTTCTGAATCTACAATAATAAAAGACATAAAGAGGACGGTGAGCCAGTGACGTCTGAACTCCGCAGCGTGGTCTCTCGGTGAGTGGATGTCGCTTGCCTTCTGGCCCCATTCTGGGAAGTCTGGGTTAGCATGTGGGGTGTTTGAGGTCACCATACTCCCCCGGGACTTTTGCTAAGCCCAGAGAAGCCTGGGAAGGTAGTGGACTTTGTCTTCTGTGCCTTTGCCCTCATTTTCTATATTCTTCCCACTCACTTATCTGCACACCCTTAACAGACTTCGGGGTTCTTATACTGAAATTCCTTGGGGTAGCCTAGTGCTTGGGAGAGAGGGCCAGATGGATCCCTTACCCTATATTTACATAAATGCTTTCTAACTATCGCGATATCTCACATCTGTGTTTTAATCCATTTTAAACATTTAATTTATTCCTAAGAAGCCTATAGAGTAAGTTACTACCAATGGCTGTGTCCTCTCAAAAGATATGTGGGGGACCTACAGCTCATTTTACCTCTCATGCCCTGACTTATTTGGAAATAGAGGCTTAGATGTGATCAAGATGGGTCTTAACTACCATCGGTCCTAACATCACCGCTGACAGACAAGCAGATAGAAATGAGACTCAGACATACATAGGGATGCGATGTGAAGACACCGGAGGAAGACAGAGACTGGCGTGATGTTGTCACAAGCCCAGGAGCTACCAGGCCCTGGATGGAGAGGGTCCTTCCAAGGGGCCGTGAGATGGAGCATGGCTTGCTTGGCATCTTGAGTCTACCTCCCAGACTGTGAAAAAATGAATGTCAGCCACGCAGCCCACCCAGTTTTTGGCACTTGGTTCCTCCAGCTTAGAAAACAAAAACATCGGTGCAATTTTCATCCGATGTTACCGAGCTCCTACTGTGGACCAGGCACAGTGATGAGCTCTGGAAAACAGAACCAGGACCAGGCCACAGGTTGACGCAAGCAAGCCCACGCTGCTGAGCCTCCTGATGACGTTCCCGACTGGCCCAGGCCCCCAAGCCTTCGCTTCCCACACAGCCATCTCAGAAGTAGAACCTGTAGGGACCAGAAGCCACTTGGGAGATCCCCGGCCCACCCCCATGGTTTTCCAAGTGTGCAGCTGGGGTCCAGAGGGGTCATGCTGCTGATGGAAAGTCGGCTTCGGACTCCCCAAACACCATCTCACTCCCTGACTCTGATTAATTCATGTTATGAATAAATTCAACAAACAACAAATGTTTGTCGAATGAACACTAAATTATTAATGACTGGTAAAGAGAATGTGTTATACCTCCCAGAGGTATTGGAATGTAGAACAATGCCTTCACCCAGAGAAGTGAATTTCTACTAGTGGAATATGGGACTGGGGCTGGGGGTGGGCGAAACAGGCCAGAGAGTTTGGGGAGGGCGGGCGGTGTCTTACGCAGACCCTTTCTCTCCAATTCCTAAAGCCCCGACTCTGTCGGCCGGCACAGCGCAGGGCTGTCAGCGCAGGGCTGTCAGCCGGAGAGGATTATGGAAGTGGGCTGAGGAGGAGCTTGCCCTACTCTGTGCTCAGAGAGGTTGTGCAGGGCATAACCATGCCCTCTGGGATGCAAAGGGAAGCCCTGGCCTCATTATAGGCGTGTACACGACTGCTGTTTTAAACTCCAATACTGCTGAACAATTCAGAAATAGGTCCATTATAGGTCTGCTTTACCCCCAGGGCGTTAACATAGGTCACTAGAACATCCAAGATTGCACAGTAATTCAAACTCTTAAGAGGGGAAGGAAATAATCTCTTCACCAATACCCACCCTTTCCCCAGCAGACCAGGGAGCGCCTCTTCATTTCTGTAGTGCTTTGAAATAAATGGCTCTTACATGGAACTTGAAATCTAATTTTTTCTTCAGCTATTAATTGATAAGAGCAGCTCATTTTACCTCTCATGCTCTGAAGTAAGATTACAGTGTAAATAAACTGGGTCAGGTTTAGCAGGATGGAAGTGAACTGTTCCCTAATTCCTCTTAATCTCTGGTAAAGGAATAAGTAGACGTCAATATTCAATAAGCAATTATGGCTCCTTCACACTGGCACTAAATCAACCCAGCGTTCCCTCAGAGACAATTCCATGAACTTTGAAACTGTTCTCTTCAATTGCAATCTCTTGGTTTTGTTCTAGCCCGTGAGGGGAGTGGAGGTCGTGAGAGGGATTTGTTTTGATTTATATTAAGTTTCAGAGTATTGGGCATATCCAGCACCACTTGAAACAGATCAGGGAAGGGGTCAGTAAACAACAGTTTCCTCGACTGCTGGTAATCACGCCGAGCTCAGCAGTTCCTGAGACTCGCTTCTCATTTTCCCAGCGCATTAGAATCATTATCTGATTATTAATCTCACCCCAGAGTTCTGAGCAGCTTATGATGCTCATTGGAGTTAATGAAGGCTTTTACCTATAGATCTGGTGCTAAATCATTGTGATTGACCAAATGCCCACAATATGGTCGGCACTAATGGAACTGACAGAAGTGGGGGAAGGGTTAAAAAGAATTAAAAGGAATGAACAGAAATTAAGAAGAGGATGGAGAAGGACCAGATAGGAGGAAGGGATGAGACTCCAAATCTGGATTTTAACTTCAAAACGCCTCATTAGGAAATTGGGGCAGTTCAGGAAGAACTCCCCAAATAATCTGCTTAAACTTTAATAAATTATTCATGTATATATACTTATGTGGCAGGCTTTCTTTAGAGAACTCAAGTGCTTTGCAAATATACTTAAGAATTAACTCTCTCCAATCTGAGTGGAACACAGAGGCAGCAAAATTGGTCCATAAAATACAGGAAAGGGGCCCACCCTGGTGGTGCAACAGGTTAGGACATAGCACTGCAAGCTAGCCACAGCTGTTTCAGTGCGAGTTCGATCCCCTGCCTGGGAAGTGACCCACATGGTGTAGCAGACCTCTCCTGACCCGCCTGCTGCTCCCCTCGGCAGTGTACTTCATTGGTCTGCCTGTTCTGCTCCCCGTTCTGTCTCTGGTGGATTCTCTGACCACCCTGGTGCCTCTGGTCTGTACCTCAGTTCTGTATGCATAAATAAATAAATCTTTAAAAAAATATATAGGAAAGGTCAGGAACAGCGCTAATCATTTCACATAGTAAAAGCCTCTCCAGGCTGCCTTGTCCTAGTGCCACCTTCCACAAGCAGTCTTTGACTGTATGGATAAATGATGATTGACAGGGACGGAGGGAGGTAAGACAGGCAGACTTGAGCAGGGTACATTTGAAAAGATACTGCCTTCAAGACAAAAATTAAAAGGCAGTATTTCAAATAAAAAATGTAGAATACAGCCCTCAATAAAAATGAAATTGCGAAGGCCAAATGCCAAATGTAGACTAGTAACATTTTTAAAGTTGTGTTTAACCATATTTTGAACTCCTGAAATTGTATCCTCAATGTATTGCTGATAGGACACCACTTAAAGATACACGTGTGTGTGTAGATAGTAGCTATATTTACATCAAGTGGGTTCATCAGTTCTCCAGAAATTCTAAATGAATCTGCCAATTCAGTGGAGGGCAAAAACAAGGAACTTAGGAAGTTTAAAAAACCCCAAAAATGAGGAAGTGAAAGTGACAGCTGCTTCCATGTCGTGGGGGAGATGGGAGTCTTCCTGGATGGCCAGCTCTTGGGCAATTACGGGAACAGGCTCCTGTTCACTACATCTAAGGCCTCGTCAATTGGAATCACACACATAAAAGGACAGGCCTGGTCCATGGAGGCACCAGGGCAATTAAACCCACAACTCACCACTTCCACTACAGCTCACGTTGAGATTCGGTTGGCTAACCTAGGGGATGCTTCGTGTGGGAGAGAGCTGGTGATTAACTAGACAGATCTTCTTACCTTTTTAAAATGAAAAATGACCTTACTCCCAAGACCTGCTAGCAGAAAATTAAAATTAAAAAACGGAAGGGTAGTGCATTGGAAGGAAGAAACTTTTTTTAAAAAAAGCAAACAAAACCACTGTGTCGATTGTCATCTCCACCTGGAGTCCTGATTGCTTTCCATTTTTATTTTATTTTGGAATCGTCTTGCTGGTGTTTTAAATAGAAGCATCTTGGTGTGTGGGATGGCACTGGTTCTCTACAAGTTCCCAATCACCTCTGAGCAGGTCCTTTTTCTGAGCCAACTTAATCCGTTAAAAATGAAGACGGCACTCGCAAGGCTGTTGTAAGAATTAAATGCAATGGCGGCTGAGCAAGAGCTTTGCACACTACACAAACGGGGTGATTGGCATCATTTTGTGTAGGGAGGAAAGTCTTATTGTTCAGAGCACATTCTTCTGAGTGTCCTACTGAGAAATGCAAGTCTTCTCCCTCCCTCTTCAAGAAGCAAGCACGCCATGCTGCTGTCCCTGAATTGTTTCAAAAGCATGCTCCAGCTTCCAAGATGGCGGACCTACGCGGTTAGTGGCGCCCCCTTAAGGTTAATTGGGTAACTTCAGCATGGAGCTCAGTCTCCAGCCTTAGAACTAGCTCTTCCCTGCCTTAGGCTTCACACCCGCGCCACTGACCACCAAGTACAAAAAAACAAGCATTCTCCTATGTTCTTTCGGGGGCTGTAGATTAAAATCTCCTTCCCTAAAATGAACTTGCCTTTTCCTGCGGTGGTTTCTGTACTGAGTTTTTGATAGACCAAGTTTCCAACAGCATTTACACTTTAATAACTGTAGTTTACACCTTCTAATCTAAAATACCACAAGCTTGTTGAAATCATATAAATCATGGAATAACTAATATTTTCAGGAAGCTTTTTAATTATTATCCACATTATGAATCTATCCAGGATATTTGCTGTGTCTCTTATATAGAGACATACATAATTCCAATCCATTTTATATATTACATATAGCATGCAAACAACAATACATATGAGGTCTAGACAAGTTTAAACTTTCCTTTGTAAGTGTACATATTTTATATTATACAGCTCTACGTATATCCATATACCATGGAGTATATATTATGTAGATCTATATATTCTAGAAATAGATGTATAGAGAGCTATAAAATACAGAGATTTATATAGAAAGCTCTATAAAATAAGCTTAAACGCATCTATATCTCATCTCAACTCACCAGATTTAAATTTAGGGTGGTTAACATATACTTCCCTGACATTTCTAAATGCTGCAGCTCAGTTACATAAAAGAGCATCTGCCCACCTAGCCAATTTAACAACAACACAAAAGCGACAAAATCCCAGGGAGGTCCCAGCGGAAGCAGCCAGCGGAAGAAGCACAGACACCACTGGTCACGGGTCGCACCACCTTCTCGGGAAACCTGACGCCCTGGGGTCAGGGGTTCAGTATCTGCTTTTATTTTTATTTTCAGGGAAAAGACAGTGACGATCCAAGGACAGCTGGCTGCCTTTCAAGGGCACACACATGCGTAGTATGGAAAGAGGGTGAAAGTGAGCATCCCCCTCGGTGGGCTGACGGGGCATCCATAGCGGGACAGCTGTGTCCACGCAGCGCACAGGGCCTCAGACACCTGTCCCAAGACTTCACTCTCAGGAAAATTTCACAAACATGCACAGTTCCTCCAGACTCTGGTTAAGCAACCAAATGATTATATTGTAGCTTTTTAGCACCCTGCCATCTCTCACCAAAACTGAAGTGAAGAAAAACACTTCAAGCCTAGAGAGCATAGAAAGCAAATAATCTTTCCTTTTTTGTTCCATTGCAAAGGATGACATTGCAGAGCCGTTTCTGTGTTTCCAACTGAAATTTTAAAAGTTGTCCTGCAGAATCACAGGCGTAGCTTCCCTCAATGAGAACAAAGGGACCTATTTGCCCTCAGCTAGGAATTTCTAGAAAGGCTTGAGTGGGTCCATTTTCATACCCACGCCATGTGTCTAAATAGTTTGAGAACTAACACTGATTTTAGGTTGAAACCCTCTCACCACAGTCTAGAGACGATTTAAATTTTATGTAAAACAATCTCTGAATAGCTGACAATGATTGTTTTCATTTCAAAATACCCTCCACACCAGCTCTACTCCTTATAACTCCTTTACTGCTGGGAGAGACATGTCAACATTGTGGGACAGGTTCAGTGGTCACGGATGAGAGTTGGGGTAGTGTGCTATTGGCACCTAACGAGGAGAGAGCAGTTTGGTGTTAAATACCACATACCCACACGTGTGCCCAGGACAACCCCCAGTGACAAAGAATCGCTGGGTCCCAAATGTCTTGAGAGCCCAGCAATCTGATGTATTCAGGATCTGCTCCCTTTCTGCTGTCTCCCCCCAGCCCAGAATTCTCTCCTCCAGGGGTCTCTGTGGTCTCCGCATGCGATGCATGATAGTACCGTAAACTGAAAGGATTTCTTCAGCTCTGTGGACTCTCCAAATGTTGAGTACCTGGAGTTATTAGAATGTTATTAGAATGTACTTTATCATTTACTTTGCAAGTGGAGGCAAGTGTTTAGATCTTGCACTTGTCTCTTATCTGCACTGTGAATTGAAGCCCCAGTACATAAAGGCCACAAGTTCCCTTTCAGGAAAGAGTTGGGCTCCTTGTGTACTAGTAAAGTAGAAACCAGGCTTCCTTGTCAGACATCCCAGCTAAACACATTCAATCTGCCCAAGTGGCTCGTGTGCAGAGAAGAGAGCGGATCCGGACCACTGCAGTGAATCCCTCTGCCACTTTGAACATCCTCCCTATTATCCACTGAGACTTGGAACACCAACCTTCCCAGCAGCTAACAGCTGCCGGGGGATGTCTGTGACAGAGTGCGTCCCTGCTGCCCAGGGACTGTGCTGGGACAGAACAGGAGTTTCTAAAGCCCGTTTCTTTCTGTGCCC